GATAGGCTTAAGCCTGGTTTCAGGAATGGGTAGGAGTGCAGCTTCTTCAGCTCACACAGAAAAACCTTGTATCTCCATAATGTGAACGGGCATAAAGTTATGTAGCATAATTATTTCTGTGTCAGCATTACTATATTAGTACAAGCCTCTATGCACTAAAGTAACTGCAGATAGTAGAAATGGACTGTGTGGTTCTTGAGAGTGAATTGTAGCAGTCTGCTTGTAAAGGTGGTCAGCACAGCTTATAATTCCTGTTATTGCTTATATAGGTAGAAACAAATTGTAATTTTCTGCAGTTGTAGGACTACATCCCATCTACTGCCTCCCATTTACAAATACTTTTCTATGTAAAACTCAGCTTTGTATGTGAATGCTTAACTTGTCACCGGTTCTTTCGCTACTGATTTTTACATTTTTCAATGTTTTTGAAAAAATACTTCTATTGTAATTGTCTATGACAGCAACCTCTCTACCTATGGTTTTATGATATGACCTATATGCCTTATACTTTGCAGGTTACACCTTTGGGCAGACAGCAGCGATACTCAATTAGTAATTGAACTTGTCCTTCTGGTATATAGTGTGTTCTTGCCCGGATAGTGGACCTTTCTAGAGTTGCCAACCAGTGTGACATATATGGGCTGCAGTGAAGTTGTGACATAGAAGAGGGAAGTGACTTGTTTACTGTAGTACAGTTGCTGTTGCACAGCTGGTATAATAGTGGAGGAATTCCTGGGCCCAGATGTGCTATTGGGAGGAGGCAGGAGTTAAACCTCCCACAAATGGGAGGTGATAATATTAAGCATATGTGTTCCTTTTACAAGGGATTGAAATAAATACTCCAAATTGTTAACTTTAGAAAGAAACTAGACCTCTCTCAGTAGCTTACATACCACAGAATATACAGAGATGAAAAAGTGAACTATTTACCCTTAGGGAACAGAGAACGGATATTTTACGTGTGTTTCTGGAATTACTTAAGGAAAACACGTTTGTGCATGTTGTCTGCTGCTTATAGTTCATTGTTAGGTTAAATAGTAAGTTGTCTCCACTGTTCTGTTGCATAATGTGTTATTGGGAATTCTTAGTTTCACAGCAATCCAAATTGCTAAATTAGGGTTGTTTGAGTTTCTTTGATTTCTGTTAACTAGCATATAGTGATGTTATGGTGTTTGTACAATTGCTGTTTTGCTTATCTTAATATTGTTCTTAAATGTCTCTTCTTTAGAAATGGGGCAGAAAGGAAGTAATCAGTATTGTATGCAACAGGTGTGCCCATTTCATTTTACACAGCATAGGTGATAGCATGCACCAGGGTGAAGCATCAAGAATAACTAAGTTAAGCAGTGGCTGATTGTCTTCAGTGCTTTCCTAATGATAGAATAGAGTGAAGCTGTAGCAAAAAGTGAGGTGCTTTTCAGATGCTGCTTTTAGTCTTGATAGAAAAAAAAATAAAAATCATGAGTTCTTTAGGGCAGGAAGTTATTCAGTAATTAATGATGCAAAAACTTGAAAAGTGAACTGTTGAAATTGTATTCTTTTTCAACAGCCATTCTTAGGTAGCTCTAATGCTGGGGAGCAGTAGGTTTTCCTGGTGCTTGAGGTTTTTTTGGGGGGAACCAAAACAAAAACACTCTATAACACAAAAACGGAAGTCTGAAACAAAATACACTTATTCTAGATTTAAGTATGTTAAAAGTGTTGTGTCCTTAAACTTCATAGATGTCATCTTTAATGCAAAAGTTCTGAGTTTCTCCATGCAGTACTAAATCATGTTACTGCTTGCCATCTATTCTCTCCTACATAAAAAAATGACAATATAAGTAAGTCAAAACTGTTTCCATGGGGTGCATGATGGAGGCACAGAAATGGGTACCAAAAAAGTTAGTAACTAAGCCTTTCTACATAACTTTTTCTACCACAGAGAGAAGTCAGTTTGGTCATTTATTTCATGACCTTTCTTAACTGCAAAGCCTTGTGTTGATGCATTGCAGTACTGTTCAGTGCCTAGAATAGTCCCAAAGTCCTGACTGTGAGAATCACTGATTCCAACTGTGTTTCTGTCTCTTAATATCCCTGGCACTCAGTATTACATTTGCCAGTTCTTCACTATTGATATAATTGTCTGTAGCAAAAAAATTACTTCATATATGTGATCTTTTTTTCATAATACCCCACATCCTGCAACAAGTAATTTTTTTGGACCTTATGTTACAGGACATGTAATTAAGCTGCCTGTCAGCCCTGACAGAGGTTGCCTCCAAGCTGATTTGCAGATCTCTGTGGACAGAGCTAGTTCCAAGATAAAAGCAGAGCAGATGTTTGTTTTACCAGTAAAATGCAGTACTTTGATTTGTCAGCAGTTCTCAAAATTTCTAAACTTTCTTTATTGCAGGAGTCTAAGTTTAAAGAAACTGGAGTAATTACACCTGAAGAAGTAAGTATTTAGAAACTTTGAAATATATTTTGAAAGTAGTGATAGATTTTACTCAAAATTACTACATTCATCTCAAACGGTTCATGTCTTTGCCGACTAATTACTGCTTCTTGAAACAATTTCCACTAAGTGGAAGTTCTAAATGGCCTTTTTACTCTACAGATGAAATAGAGAAACAGAATTCCTTTTGAGATGACATTTGACATCTGAATGTTGGATGCTTTTTCCGCTGTTATGTTGTGAAAAGCTTGTAAGGAAGCTCGTGGTGGATCAACAGCCCCATTTGTTATGGGAGTTCAGGACTGAAACAGGAATATATTGATTTCAAAGGTCTTTCCCGTAAGCAATTCAAAGGGGAACTTGTATCTTGGGAACAGCCTTTGCCTACCTCACTTTTGGTTCCTTCCAAGGCTCTGGCTAAATCATTACCTATACTTGTCCACACCAAGTATCCAGTGATTATTTCCCCCCTCCCCTCCACCGGCTACTTCAGACCGGTTGTATTTTGGATTGCTGCCAAGCAGTTGTAGGTTTTTTTAAGGAGTATGCTGCAAAAAGAAACAAACAGAATTTTTTTCTAGAATAGTAAACCCAGTGATTGTGTAGTGCTATTTTGACTTCCCCGGATTGTGTAGTGCTATTTTGACTTCCCTGTTCTGCTTTTCTCATATTAAAGTGCTACTGTTCTGAAAATACATTATTTTTACAGAGGTATAAGAAAACAATGTTTAAACTGTTAGGTAGAATGAAAGAAAAATGAGACAGAATGCGCATATGTGAAGATGAGATGGAAAAAGATGGAACAAATGGTGACTGATGCATGTAGATAATGTGGACAGAATTATTTTTCCTAACATTGGTACCTAGCATTTTTCTGCTACGTTGCATGGCAAGCAAGCACTCGTGCTTTCTATGATCCAGAAGAGTACCGCTCAGAAAAACAGGCTTAGCAACATGGTATTCTGCTGTTCTGATAACCGTGTGTATATGTGTGTATATAAATGTTTATATGTTACATAATATATTTATAATCTATATTATATGTAAACTCGTATAACAGAGAAAGTCTAGACAAATATTCTATTAGTGCTTAATCCTTTCTTGATCTATGGGAGAGAACCTTGCAGTAGTACTGAAAGAAAAGGTACTTTCTATAGAACATAGTAAGAACCACACTATGTTACATTAAACAATTTGCAGCGTTTGAACACCAGTAAGAATGCGAATAGTATGTATTCTTTGCATAAAGTTAGATGCTGATAGGATGAATAAATTGGATCCTTCAAAGTAGTAGTCACAGGAAACAATTATACAGCAAGATTGATTTTTTTGTTGTTGTTGTTTTGTTAAATTTAGATGAGACTGGATCGTGGATCTGCTGATTGTCCCTTTGACAGTCTTTCCTCTTCCCTCATGATTTTGGTCTTTATATAGTAATGATTGCTAAAGAAGAATTGAAGTCATCTATAATGATGCTAGGATGTTATCTTTGAATGAGTTTGGATTCCTTTGGTGATGAATCTCAGTTCAACAGTGTTTTAGTCCAAGACGACGGCTGTTTTGTAGACTTTGTGGGGGTCCTGTGCCTTGCCTCTAAATATGAATCAATTAGCATAAAGGCTAAAGATGACTCATCAATCAAACTCAACACCTACTCCCTCTTTTCATATATCTGTGTACTTGATTTAATTGCAACAAATTCTTGCCTGTCATCAGTTCTCACTAGTTAATACTTTAGAAAGATAACACCTGTCTTAACTTTATATGTAAGTACAGGCAAACTTTAAAAAAAAATCATTCTTTCAAGGAGTAGAAATAAGATGCTGTCCTAAAATTGATCTCTTGCCACTTTTGCAATATTGAATCAGGTATGAGATAGCATTAGTGCTTGAGGAATAGAAAGTGAAGCCAGCTAGATTAATTATGCTGCGTAAGCTGAAGAAAATGCAAATGAAATTTCAAGTATTGTTTTAGGGTTTTGCATCCATTAGACCCACAAAGAACACTTTAAATTTTTTTCATCTTTATAATATATTTTAACATTGGTGACAAAGTGTTCCAGTTCCTTGAACAGAGAATTTTACATAATTCTGGAGTTTCATGTGTTATTGCTTTTTATGTAAAGGCTTATGAGCTTTAAAATTTCCTTGTGTACTGGGAGGGATTGTTGTTTTCTTTAAAGTGAAGATTTCACTTTCGCTAGAGACTTTTGTTAGGAAATAAGTGAAAGAAAGGATTTTTGCAGAGATTAAATCTGTTAATCCATATGCAGTGCTTGTTGTGGTGTTTGCCACTACGCTGATATGCCTCGCTTTGGAGGACATTGCGAGAAAATGGCTGACATGCTGCAAGCCTGTTGTGTCACGCTACAACTTCTGGTCAGCTAGGAAGTATGTTGTTATAAATGGGCATTTTAAGATAAGAAAGCAACTGTAGCAATAGGTGTGCACCTCATTTTCAGAAGTAACTGCTGCAAAGACCACACAATTCCCTCTTCTTAAATGCAGGATTGCCTTCCTCAAGTTATGTGTACAAAAAATATGCCCAGTGGGTTAGACTTTGGGTGAATTTTGAGCTTGTACACAAGTGTAGTCTGAGTTTTCCAATATCACTTTGAAATAGTGATGTGATTTTTATAAAAGCCTTTCTCTCTGATACTAAGAAGAAATAGAGTGAAGATTTTTAAAAGCTATTTCTTCAAAACACAGTTATGCATAAGGGTTTTTTTAATGTACTAAGAACTTGGTCAACCATATTTATTTAACATCAGAGGTGAACTATCATAGTAATGGTCTGTTGCAGTTCTCTCACTGGTTCAATGAACTGATGTCAGCCTCACTTTTGCTCTTGCTGCAAAATTGTTCTGGACACTGATAGATAATTAAAATTATTTTTTTTACATTAAGCTCTTCATTGTCTTTCTAAAACTTTGAAGAGTGGAAAATAAGTTTCTTCATCACAAAGTAAACAATGTTACTGGGTCTAGGAAACTTTTTTTGCTTGTTAGGACTGGTAGGTAATACCACAGCTTTTCAAACTTTATCTGAATTTGCTGTTGTGCTTAGTATGCATTTCCTTCAGGTGAAGTTGATTTGGTCATTGAATTTTCATGGTTAGCTGAGAAATGGAGTTAAAAGAAAGCATTAAACTGTTACAAACAGTTACTAGTTAGTATCAAAGGGATGTGCAACTGAAATACTAATATTGAGAAAAATTGGAGATTGTTTTCTTATGCTATATTTAACATGACTTGAATTTTTTTCCTGCCTTAACAGTTTGTTGCAGCTGGAGATCACTTAGTTCACCACTGTCCTACTTGGCAATGGTAAGTAAAATCAAAAGAACTATGAGAGGCTAGCATCCCAATCTGTGCTTCAGTGTGTTTCCATTGGATACAACTATACAGTTGTCCCATTTCAGAATAGTACATGGACTCTTGCAGTACAACTGCTGGTTTTATGATGAAGCTATCTTTTAAGTCAGGCAGGACTTACTGCTCTGTGTAGTTGAGATTTGTTTTGGGATTATTTTGTTTTGTTTTCATAAGGCTATAGAGGAAATAAGCTAGTATGTACTGTGAATGCTTTCATTGCTTAGCTGCAGTAGCAGTATGTCTCTCTGAGCTTGTCTTAGTATTGGTGATTGAAAAAGCAAAGGCCGTGTCCAGCTGGAATTACTAAGAACTAGTTGCAATTGGTGTATTTTAGACAAGCATTTGTTAGTTACATTTGTTCAAGTTGGCCCACAGTAGATCACTTTGTGCAGTGCTTGCCCTCAGAAATCACTTACAGGTCATGCACAATAAGGGTGCAAATAAGGTGCTTCCTCATGTTTTACCTGTGTCTTGCATTATAAAACTAATCACTTAATTCCTAGATGGGCAATTTCTGTGCGGTTGGTATCATCAAGGTTCTTCTCTGTACTGCCATGTGAAGAGCTGAAGGAGGAATTACATTGCTTGAATCATCATTTCTTGCCTTTTTACTGTCTCCTTAAGAGAAAACATGATATTGAGTATGGCCTATGTGCCAGTGGTTTGGAACAGGCTATTTAAGATGTTAGACTCTTATTCCAAACCAAAAACCTCTGAAGGTGAAAGCAAATGCTTGAGTAATGCGAGCTTGGCAAAGATTACTCAAGCTCTGGTGACTATGGGCAGTGTTTATATTTGTAGAGGTCTATTTCTTGCTTTTTCTGAAGTTGCTTTCTACAAACATTTGGGACTATGTTGTTGCCCATCCTAGAAAATTTCATACAGACTAGATTGTTCTGTCAACCTGTCTTTGCTTGGCCATCTCAAAGTGAAAGTTGTTTTTGAAGCAGAAAATAATTTTGATCCAAGACTCCATAGTTTAAGGGTGGCCATCCTTTTTGAGCCTATACCTATGTCAAAGTCTTTGTACAGACAAAAGTAAAGTTATAGCAAACAGATTCTGAGAATAGGTCAAGAGGAGTATGTAAAATGTTTCTGTTACAAATTGAAAATAGACAGGTTCTTTTGTTTGCAAGTCATCAAATTCTCAACCTTTTATGGTGCACTTCATTTTACAGGGCTTCAGGAGAAGAACTAAAAGTCAAGGCTTATCTGCCAACAGACAAACAGTTTTTGGTAACTAAAAATGGTAAGGCTGAAGTTTAATATAAGTTTTCTTAGGATTGATAGCATGGTTAACTGTGCTATCAACTCTACTGATTGTCTGTGTTGACAGGGGAAGCAAATATCTTGCACTTTGGATTTGCAACATTAAAAAAGTTTTTCGTGTGTATCTAAAATCTTTTCCTTAGACCAGTTGTTAGTAGGGCTTTATACTAGTAATGCAGCTTGGCTTGCTGAAGTAGAAATGAAGCTTAAACATTATAAACCTCCTTTTCTGCCTTTCCTTTCTCCCATCCTTCAGCTCATATTCAATGTCTAAAAGGAAAATATGTTTATTTTCCTCTTTCTTTTGGAAAATTTGGGCAATTGAAGTGTTCCCAAAATGTCTTTCACGGTGACACTGATACTTCTAGTTCCGATACAGAACTAATGTCATTATCCCTTTCAATAAGTATAATTTAAAATACAATTTTAAATCAAATTTTGATCACGTTCACGTTGTGTATATGTAATACTTGAGGTGACTACCTTAGTGGGTAAGAAAGCTAACATATTGGCACAAACATGGGGAAATCATTTTCTTGAAAGATCTTGTATGAAAATGTTGAAGATAATACCATTAGATAAACCTTCAGTACTAAGAACAGCCTGAGGAGGTTTTTACCTGCACTGGGTTGTATTTTATGCTTTGATTTCACTTCCTGGTTTATGGAGTCTTGCAGCGTGCTGTCATGGATAAATGCTTATAGTGGTGTTGGACAGACTTTCCCAAGATAGTCTTGATGACTGGATGGCCAAGTGATCTACTTTGTTTCTCTCTTCCCCTCCCCCCCTTCCACATTGCTCTGAAACTTCTAGATTGTATTTCAAAATAATGTGTTTGCTGCTGATGGTGACACACTGGCCTACCACCCAAGTAAAAGTTGTGGGCTATGGGTGAGGCCAGGAGCTATCCTGCAGGCCTCATTTTGGAAGTTTTTAGAGGACTTCACTGTGACTTTCATACCCCTCTTCTCCCTTTCTGAAAGGTCTAAGAGCAATTTACAAATGCTGCCCTTCACGCAACAGTTGTTTTTTCCACATTAGAAAAGGAGTGTTTTTTACTTTTTGTTTATGATATTGGAAAATGTCTGGTTTGCCTTAATCAGATATACATTCTTTCTTTGACTATTTTCTGAAAAGTTTCCATAAATCTGTACTTGAATGGCTCTGTAATGCATATGACCAAAGTTATTCTAAGTAACACATTAATTCTAACCTTTTCTAAACTTCTAGATGTTAATATATAATTAAACATACTTAATATATCACATAAATAGCTGATACAAACTTTTAGCGGAATTCTAAAGACAAATCAGTTCAGTAAACTGATGCTAATCCAGGCAAAGTTGTACTTACACTAAAAGTTGTTTACCAATGTGAAGAAAACTAATAGATTGTCTCCAGTTGTTAGCAAATGGATAGGCAGCCTAAGGAGACATGAGAAGTTAATTCTTTTCTAATCCTTAGGAGTTCGGATGAAAGTGCTCTAATGGGTTGCAGAAGAATGAACTTTTAAGGCTGCTGCAAGTGTTGTGCTGTACGTGAAATAAAATTCAAGTTCATGCTTTTGCATTTGAAATATATCTTTAGGCTTCCTTAAATAAGGATATATGAGAGGCTACCATGTTTCAGAAGGCCTTGTAGAATAATTTCTTGCTCCAGTCAGGTTTTGTATAGGAATGGGTGCATTCATTTTGTTTTGCAATTTTTTGCAGTGCCTTGCTACAAAAGGTGTAAGCAGATGGAGTACTCAGATGAGCAGGAAGCAATTATAGAAGAAGATGATGGTGACGGGGGATGGGTAGACACTTTTCACAATGCAGGTATTCAAAGTCTTGCTTCAGACTTTGTGTTTGATAATCTGAAAGATTTTCAGTTTTCACTCTTAGAAAGTAAAATCTTTCTTGCATGTAGACGGCTGTGTTCTGGTATCTAATCTGGAAGTAATAAGTTATGTTGCCAGCTACTCACTTGGTTGGTATATGACTGCTCACGTGTTTAACTGTATGCCTGTATATGCCTGTAAGTGCCTAACACTTATTAGAGGTGTTGATAATAAATTATTTCAGTATTCTCTTATTAAAGTTCTAGGAAGTTATTGGAAAAAAATGAGCAGTGTAGTAGCTCATTCCTTAGTAAGGAGATCCTGTGAAGAGAGTGCTGGTTTAAATTATTTGTTTGAATAATATGCAAATTTCTCTTTTAACGGAATTGCAAGTGAAGCATGTTGAGATCTTTACCTTGATGCTGACCTCATCTGACTTATTTTGGTGTTTCCCATTCTGTTGAATTGTTGGATTGAGCTGTAAGGGGGAATCATTGGAAAATAGCTATTATCTTAGTATCTGAGGTCACTGTGTGTGTGGGGGGGTGTACTAAAAAGAAAGCAAGTGTTGTTAAATAGAGGAGTGTGGGAAATGATCCTTTTTTTTTTTTTTTACACTAAGTCCTTAGATAAGCTGTGTTTATGGAGAAGTCTAAAAATTACTGCTTCCGTGAATCCATCTCATTAGCCTTCCTAGCACAGCCTCTTAGAAACCCTTTTGCTCTTTTCTAAGAATTGGCAATTTTATTAGTTTTAGTCTGTTTCTTTGTGTTCTATCATGAGTTAATAAAATTCTGTCTTTCAATGATGTTTTCTCCACCATTTCCAAACCTAGAAGGTATTTCACACAGTTTTTACTTTCTTTGATGTAAATTTTTTGCTGTAATGTGGAAGAAGTTCTCTGACTAAATAGTTCAGCCAGAGTGGGCAGAAAAGGGGTGGGAGAAGAAGCCTTTTGTTTCTATAGATGTACATTTTTTCATCACTGGTTATTCTTAAATGTATTGCAGTTCCTAATTGAACACCCCACAGTAAAGAAATCGTTTGACATAGCTGTGTCATATCCTTGAATTAAGGATGTGCTCTCCATCCCTGCTGTGGATAGATTCTTCTGCCAGGGTTTGGGCACCACGGTCTAGTGGCACAGCTGTAAGACTGACTAGACCTGGCCAGATCTCCAAATGCTGTCAAAGGACATAAAAGCTGTTTCCACCCATCTGTATAGATGTGCTTTATAACACCACTCTTTCTGGTAGGAAAAACCATATGTAAATGCTCCCACAGCCACCAGAAATGTTTTGTTTCCAAGCAGCATTCAACTGGCATTCCTTTTCTTTAACCAGTTGAGTTCATTCATCTATTTCTGCTGAGCAGTGACTTGATTCCAGGTTAATTCTCCATAATGATGTAACTTATTTTCAGCTGAAGAGTTAATTAGATAAATTTACTGTGTCAAAGCAGAATCTTATCATGTATCTCAGAGTACTGGGTGACAGCTGCAGTAAAACTAGAAAGCTAATGTGGAGGAATCCAAGAGTTGATACCAGTGTGATTTGGGGTGGTTTTTTACCCCCTGTCTTCTCAGTTAAAAGCGTTGAGTGTTCTGCTACATTATTGCTTTGTCACGAACACCTTGCTTTCAAGATGCTCAGAAATATTCATAAATGCATGCATTGCTCATGAAGTTCAGTTCTATTACTGTGACATGAATGCCTATCCTGAACTCATTTTTATGCAAAAACTCCTTAAAATAAAACTCCAAATTACTTTGCAGTGGTCCATCAACAAAATTTGTATGATGTGCAAGAGCTTGCTCCATGTTACTGGTATGGCTAGTTTATGGATGTGCAGCACCAAGCATGCTACCAATGCCAAATAAACAGCCTTTCAAATATCAGAATTGTTGTGAGATGTAAATTGGAAAGATCATATGCTGCTTTCTGAGGTCTCTGCAACCTTTTTCTACAGTATTCTGTAACAAAGAAACAAGCTTCTTTAATGCAAATTTCTTGTTCAATTAACAGGTATAGTGGGTGCAACAGAAGCAGTTAAGGAGATCACGCTAGACAGTAAGGTACTTGTTTTTAAATTTTCCTTTTGTTTTATTGCAGGACCTAAAGATAATAGAAGTCTTACCTGCAGCAATCTAGTACTGCCTGTGAAAGATTAAAATATACTTTTTTACTGGATGTGTTGCAGATATACTTTGACCTTCAGAGCCCGTGATACTAGTCTAAGCATGTGTATCTCCTTATTACTATGTGTTTACTGAGGCAGTGTTCTGTTTGGAATGTCTGTAGCCAGTGTGCTCTTGTGCCAGGCTTCTACAAACTGAAAATTAAATTCTGTTTATAGTGATGCTGCACCATTGTGTCTCAAGAAACTAATGTTTGGAGATTCAGTGTGAAGACATCTTTATACGGGAAAAATACTGTAGTGTTGTAAAGCATTTCTTCATAATCAGTAACTACTGCAAGCAGAGTTTTAACACATTTGGTCCTGTTTGACAGGCTTGTGCCCTCAAGTTTAGAAGTACTAAAACTGTTAAAAAGTATATGTCTTATGAAGTCATCAGTTTCTGCATGTATTTCAAAAGTCACTCTGCAGCAGGAGCTAGATCGGAAACTTAAGTCCTCAGGAAACTGAGAACAGTTGGAAGTGTTTGAAATAGAAATGTTAGCTACAGTGTTTAAGAAATGTGGAGAAAGTCACAGACACACAAGATGCTTTTAAAGATGAGTTGGTTGCTAAAGTGGAGTTCTGTCTGTGCGCTATGAGAGATTGTTAAATCACCCAAGCACAAAGCTTTGGATTTTAAAAAATAAGGGGAAATAGAATGGGCTGCTGCATGCTACCTCACAATGTAAACAGCTCAAAATGCTATTGATATGATGAACAGTGAAGTACATGTATTTCTAGTGGGATGGTGCTGAACATAGTAAAATACTGCTTTTTAACAAGTCAGTAACATAAGGGTGGAAAAAACACTATGGAATACCTAAAGGTGATCGCTGTTTCTACCAAACACAATACTTGCAGAATGTTGTTGTGATTCATAGCTGCTCTCGTGTTATGACTTACTACACTTCTAATACATTGTATGTAGAAAAACTTGCTTGTTGTACAGGATATCATTTTTTGGACCACACGTCCAATCCAGAAGGACAACTCTTTTTCTGCTAATGTCCTGTTTGACAAAGCACTTCACAACTTGGTTTCTTACTGTGTGTTTTCTTTCAATGAGGAAACCAGTCACCTGATGCTTACAATTAGAGCAGCTTCTAATTCTAATCATTATTTGGAGTATTCTCCTTAAAGTCTTTATGAAACCTGCGTAAATTGAGACCTTCCCCTCCTGTTTTTTTTCTGGGGCTGTCTGTTGGGTTCAAATGCTATCCATAGGCCCACAATGCCCAAAAGAAAAAGTTGGCGGAGAGCTTCTGCCATATTCATTTCTGTTGGACTGTGCTTCCTCAGGCAATATCAAAATATGATCTTTTTGAGAGTTTCTTGTTTTTTAAAAACAATTATGGAACTGTTGCACAGTTGGCTGTGGATTAGATCAAACAAAATATTAACCTGCATGTTTAGTCATAGCTGGTTAGTCATCGCCTTTCATTTGAGATAAATGTTGGGGTTTTTTTGTGAAAGGGAAATATCGGCTGTTTAACACCATGCTTATTCTTCTTTGCTTAGGAATTATTCCAGATTACGAAGTAAAAGGAGAACTTTTTAGCAGATTTTTAATGTCATACTAGGGGTTTGAAACTAAGTTTGGTTAATAAGCAAATATTTGAATTCAGTATAGTCTTTCTAAATATTGCAGAAATTATTTTTCTGGTTTGCTGTATGTATTGACTGGACTTAGACCTTAAAATTGCTGGTGCTGTTAGGCTGTGTAGATGCAGCAGTCTTTAAAGCAGTGTTTTCATTTTAACTTCTAAAGGATAATATAAAAATACCAGAACGTTCAGCATCTTGTGAAGATGATGATGAGGAAGATGAAGGAGAAGCTGCAGACATGGAAGGTATTTCCTTAAATTGGGTGGGATGTGCTTTATTTCAGACCTTTAACTAAAGCAGTATGCTCCAAGAAAACACTACTCTCTCTTTTCATGAAATGCATGCTGAAAAATTCAGCAGGCATATGCTCTTTATCATCTTTTGTATGGTCTTATTGATGCATATTTACTCTAACTGGTGTGCTGAAACCTGCATGAATGTTAGTGACTGGGAAATTAATTTGATTAGAGCACATCCAAGCAAGCAAAAATTAGGGATTTAGCACAGCTTCCCTCCTGCTTCATACCTGTACCTAACCTCATCATGTACTTACTGTAGTATTGGTCAAACTTGTATTAAAAAATGTATAGTCTGATTTGGGGATTGGGAAGTCTACTGGAATAAAACATCTTTAGATATATGGAGATTTGTTTCAATGGAATTGTCTTTGAATGAGAAATATAACTAGCTACAAGCTGAACACAGAATTTTATGGGTCTTCTTTTCAGAGTATGAAGAAAGTGGGCTATTGGAGACAGATGATGTGAGTGACCAGTTCTCTATCTTGTCTGTTACAATGCCTATCACTAGTATGAGCACAAGCAAAGTAAAAATAATAACAAATGGCTGACATAAAAAAGCTTGTTAGAGCAGTGGGATTACTGAGCCTGGTTTCTTATGCATTTGCCTCTTGCCAATCTACTGCAGTGACCTTAACTCTTAGGTCCTCAGAAATTTGGATCACAGTAACTTTGTGGGTTTTGCTGATCCCTTTCACACTGCTTACACACAGTGCTGTATTCACAAGAGGTAAAAAATGCAGTGCTTGTTCTTGAGGCTTACACGTGGAGAATGAGTGGCTTATAGGTTCAATAGATTACACTGATGTACCAGACTGTCATGAGAGAAAACAGAGGGCATCATTATTTGTGGCACTTTGCTAAGGTCTTCATGAAACCTGCATAAACTCAGATCTCTGCTTTCTGAATTTCATTGGTGTTGTCTGCTGGGTTCAAAAGTTATTGGTGAAACAAGGGAGGGGAATGAGACAATGCAGTCACGTGCTTCCTTAAGGAATAGGACCTTTTTTTAAAAAGTAAAAAACCCCACCAAAAATAAAACCAAGAACCACTTGGTGGGGAGAGAAATTGGTACTTCTAAAATAAAAGATAAAAAACAAACCCTAAAAGCCTTTCTTTTTTAATGTTCACTTAAGAACATTAATTTCAGTTTTACAGCTTTATGTAACTCCTTAGGATAGGAAAGGAAGGAGTCCAAACAAGGCTATACTAATGTTGTCATTTTACCTTGAACCAGGCAACGCTTGACACAAGACAGATTGTAGAAGCTAACAAAGCTAAAGCTGATGTTGGAGGGGAAGATGCTATTCTACAGACTAGAACTTACGACCTCTACATCACATATGACAAATATTACCAAACACCAAGGCTCTGGTTATTTGGATATGATGAGGTATGGTGATGTTGGTTTTTTTTCCCCAACTTCTGTGAAATTAGACTCACCGTGTCAAATAGGAAGGCTATTTTGTTGCTACTTGCTTATTCACAGTAGAAATTTAAAGGAAAGTATGAGAAAACCATTATACAGTCAGCGTTGCAGACAGAACTTCTGGTACTTTCTGGAAGTAGGAACAATTTCACTGAAAATTGTACTTGGTAACCAAGCACATTTGGAAGAAAGAAAATTATGCTTGTGTCATTTGAGTTGGTTAGCTCTGTAGAGCTAGTAATAACCTCAGTAAACTTAGTCAAGTTAAGCAGGTATGTGTTTTCTTGATCTTCAGAAGGAGAGGATTAGATAAACCACTCTTCTTTAATTGACTACGTTTCTTGAATTAAAGTTGGTATGGGCTTATGACTCAAATACCTAGATGGTTCTCAAATATATTGACTTTACCATTCACCTGGTAGATTAAAAACAAAAATTTGTGCAGTACTATTTCTACACCATATGGATTTTAACACACTCAGTTCTTTCACTGTACCTTCAGAACTGCTCTATATCAAATGCTTAGAATTTACAGTGCTTCATCAGTTAATGATGTTAGAATTGCTGAGAAGGAGCAAAAGATTGTTAGTAATGCTTTTGTTCTCATGTTCCTTTTTCCTACATAGCAACGGCAGCCTTTAACAGTAGAGCATATGTATGAAGATATTAGTCAAGATCACGTCAAGAAAACAGTGACCATTGAAAACCATCCTCATCTTCCTCCACCTCCCATGTGCTCAGTTCATCCATGCAGGTAAGTCTGTTTCTGGTCTGATTCAGCCTGCAGACACCAGGCACTTCACTGGTCTTGTTAAGGATTTGGTTCAGGTTTTCTGGATATATTTCCACAGTTGGCTGTCATAGTGGTCTGTTAGCTTCTGAGGGAGTATGAAAGGAAGATATCAGCAATTCTCTGAAGTCATCCCAGTGCTCACTGCTGCAAGTGTATTCAGCAGTTAGAGCTGTTTTCTCTCTACTCGGCTTGCTTTTCCTTCACTTCCCTACAGACTCCAGAAGATGGCAGACTACTAGAACTCTATAAAAGAAAGTTCTGCTATACTTTCATCTGCTGCTTTTTTGGGAGGGTAAGAGTATAATGTATACTTTAGGAGCAGAAAATGCTATCTGAATGTGAAATAACTCTCTCATTTTGTAGTAACTACCTTCTGCTCACCCAGAAGTCTTTGAAATTTTACACTGATAAATAGAGGTCCTCCAATTGCCACACTGAAATATTGGTTGAACACAAATGCAAAACACTTTTCTGCTGCATTGTCTACATTTCTTACCCAAGATATAGGGAGTCTGTAGTTTGACAAGCTGCACAGATTTTTTTTCTATGTCTTCAGAAGGTGCCTTTCATCTTAGATGTAGGCCCTAACGTCCTTTTAGGTGTCTTAGTGATACAGAGCCAATATCTTAAACAGCGTAACTCCTCAGCTTCTTGATAGTGTGAAGCTCTTAAAGATAAGAGACGCCCTTTGTAGTCTTGCATATGTTTTAAAAAATGCCCTAAAGAAACACTTCTGGGATCCATGGCACTAGCTGAGGTGTGAGATAATCAGCTTGTTGTAGACAAGCTTGTGGTAGGTTTTGCAGACTCAAATAATTCTTGTTTCTGATTTAGGAATTATTTGATCTTAAGGTTAGCTTTGAGAAGGGTATACCATTCTTTTGAGAGAGAGCGCGTGCAAGGAAACTTTGCACCAAGTAGTTCGTGGCTACTTTTGATCTTATTTTGAGGACGTATATTCATGGGCTTTGTAAATCTGTATCTCGTGTTTCTTCCAGTTCACAGTTCTTTAACTACTACTGTGCAACAGTCTTGCTTTCACCAAGCACTCAGGCTTATGTCTGGATAATATTGAGCAGAGAAGCCATTGTACAACTGGGAAATGGCTTTTTCCCCAGTTTAGCTGTCTTGTAGAAAATGAAGTGATATAGTTAATTGTTGGTCTCTAAATCCTCAGGTTTAATTCTACACTAACACAACAGACCTGTGAAAATGTCAGTCTCAGTGCTCTAGAGTAGTATAGGAAGTGGAACTTAGAAGTGTTAGGAAAAGAATAAAAAATAAACCAGAAAACAGCATAAAGCCTCTATTAATCTGTGGGACCACTCAAACATTGAATACTGTAGTGCAGCTCTGGTCATCTGTTCTGTAGCCTGTGAGATGAAGGAAGACCAAAAATGGAAAAGATGCAGAGGGGCTGTCTGGCATAACTGAGATTATGAAGCTCTTTCCCATAATAAATGATTGAATAACCTGGGACCAGTTACGATTTCAGTGACCTTCATCATGAATGGCACAGAAGAAGTAATAGGTGTTTGTTTCTTTCCAATAGCAAAACTGGTGGCATTGAATGCTACTCACTGCTGGCATGTTCAAAGTCAGAAAAAGGATTAAACTCTGCATACAGCACCTAATTAAACTAAATTATTTATCTAAGCAATGTGATGTTAATGAAAGAAAAAATTGTCAAGAGTTGTTAAAAGTGAAGTTATTAGAATGCTCTTGAATTAGAAAGTCCCTAGGTTGCATACTGCTGGAAACTAGTAGCACTTCAGGGGAAGCATTACTAGGTACTTGCTCTGGGCTCTTTCTTGAGCACGTACTATAAGATAGTAAGCAGGATGAGGTAGACCTTTCTTTGATCCAACAAGGTATTCTTGTACTTTATATGAACATATCAGTCTTAATATGTCAACCTCTTAGTGACTTTGTCTTATTGTTTGCTGTCTTCAGGGTTTTGGACAAAAAAAATGGATGCAGCTTTTTGTGCAACTAGTGTGTTGGGTTTTTTGAAGGAGTGTCAGGTGAGATGAATGAAGGCAAGGTTTAACAGACTGACTAGGAAGAAGATTAGTAGAAGAAAAGGAGGAGAAAAAGCCTGAAAGCAAGGCTTAATTTAGTGATTGCTGGAAGCCCAAAATAAATTAGTTGGGAAGAAGCTCGTGTTGATGGATGCAGGCTGGGAGGGTGCTTTCGGAAGAAACAAAGATGACTAGCTATTTGGGCATGACAGCCCTAACTGACTAGGTAGACCTGTGGGGTTTATACCGGGCTGTGGCTGCACTGTAATCTGCTTAATTTTGCAAACAGCTTTGCAGAGTAAGAAGCAATTTAATGCTAGTCTGTGAATTTGGATTGAGTCTTCATGGATAAGAGCTCTGTGTGCGTGTTTTCACTTCTTCCTCTGGGGCCAGTGAAGTGCCAGTGCCTTTATGTAATCCACATCTATGCTTGAAGAAATGGTTTGCATCACGACGCTTGTTCCAATTAGTCTTTTAAGCTTGAAAGAGATGATCAATACTGCAGTGAGACAGAGTTGTCAGTCATCTTAAATGTGGAGGAAACTGTGTAGTCCTTCCCAAAAAGTAATCTAGTTGACTGGCAACTGCTTTACATTAGAAAGTTCGAAAAGGTCATCTTGAGACTGCGAAGAAAGAGGCTAGCAGCATATCTAAAATGCTGTTTTAAGCATGTTCTCTTACTCTCCAAGGTGAGCTATTCTATTTTCTTAAATTGGTAAGGCTAACAGCTAAGAAGGTCTGAGCTTGAGGTGAAAAATAATAGCTAAAAATGTTTATTCTTAATTAAGCTAGGAAGTCCTAGTGTTTAGCTAGCTCTGCTGCTGTTAGTTCCCCGCACGTTACAGGAATTGTGTAATGTAGGATATCTGGATGATCCTAAACTTACTTGGCTGTTTGTTGTGACGTGTATATCCCTTTGTCATGCGTCAGAGAAAGGAAAGAAACAGCCTGCTGTCAGCTGCTTGAGATAGCTTCTATTTTGAGTAGTTAGTTGAAACTGTTCATCGTGCAGCTCTGCTGTACATTGTATTTCTTGTCAGCATTTTTACAGTACTGGGAGGAACACAGTCAACTTCCTCATTAATTGCTACAAACTAGTTTAATCAAAATTGTCAGCTTTTTTATGTGGGTCTTATGAAGGGACTAGCAAACTAGTTAAAGTGTGTTGAGTAGTTACAATTAAATCTGAGTTATTGCACTAATTCCAAGGGCTTGTTTTTTCTCCATTTCAGAATAAATGGTGATAGGCTTCTGAACTCTTTTCCTGTCTTAGGTACTCTAAATATCTGCAGGGAAGTGACGAGAGGCAATTGCAAGGATCAAGGGATTGTAGATCTTAAAGTTAACTGACTATTGTGGATTCTGAATGCTTCTTCTAATGATGACATTTGTGGGTTTTTCCATACCTGTCTCATTGTATGTGAGCAGTAACAGACAGTGAATCAAATTAATAGGCAATTTTTTTTTTCTTGAAAGTGCACTGTCCTAAAAAGTCTTGCACTTTACCCTCTGTTAAGAAAACTGATGGTTGTTGTCCACCATGCTGAGAGCCCTGTGGAAGGTCTTTTCATCTCTATGAACTTCAAGAGGTGCGAATAAGCCATTTCTGCTGTTGGGGTTTTTTCCCCATATGTCAGGAAGGCTGTTATTTTTTACTCTCTGATAGTATATATTTCCCTTCCAGCTGATACTCAGCCAATGTCAGTATGTCAGCTGTGCTGAATTCCAATGCAAAGTTAATAACAAAAATTTTGACTGACAGCTTTGTCAATTGCAAAGCAGGAGAGGGATTCTTCAGCTGGAGAGAGAACATTCCTGATAAGAGCATAAAGGGTCATCTAATCAATCTAAGAAATCAGCTTCTTTCAACTTATTTTTAACCCCTTTAATGTATGGTCTTAAGTCTGTATCTGAATTTATTTTCAATAGGGACAGCAGTAATTCTGACTTGGAATATGAATAATAACTCATTTATATTGAACCATCTCAAGAGCTGGTTGATATACTGGAAAGTAAATTAGGTGATTTTAGTAGATGTTTTAAATGTCTGATCTATTTGATAGCTCAAGTGATCTGCAAACAGGTCCTGGAAAAAACATAGTGTATTTAGTCATCTTGACTTAGGAGTTATTTCTGGGGACTTTTATTCAGAAGTAAAAAATAAATAAATAATAATAGATTGAGATTTCTAGATAGCAGGATATTTTGGATGATGTTTCTTCCAAAGTTGTCTTATTTCTTTCCATTGGGGGGTATACATACTTCATATTAATTCCTCAAAATTTTCTTATAGCAGGAAACTGAAAACAGGAAACAAACTTTTGAAAGTGTATAAAGCACCTGCAAAGCTTTTCATGAGTAACTGTAGGACAGTAAGAATGACCATTACTGTGGCCATTATGAAATTCCAGATATCTAACTAGTCCTTAGAAAACAGAAAAGAACAAATGTCATTAAGATGTATGAAGTTGAGCCAGTATCCTGTTAAAGACTTCTAATAGCTGTAGGGTGACCTGTATTCTGTGGCTGTACCAAAAACAGTCTACCATTATGGACGAGGTCAAAGCTTAAGTTTTAACAGCAGCCAAGTTCCCATCTGGAAGCAACTGGCCTTGGCACCCAGACAGCGTGTGTTCTGCAGAGGAATCACGAGGATCCAGAATTGGAATCAACTATGAGGGTTAGCTGATTTGCAAAGACCAGCAGCCCAGTGAATAACAAATGCTGACCTTTACTATTTCTCCAGACTTGCATGTTCCTGTTTACAATGTGTCTTGGTAACTTTGCAACAGCTTCCTTCCTTGTGTTTGCAGTTGCTGGCAGCATGATTAACTTTGAAGGTAACTACTAAATGCTGGTTACTGGTCAGCTATTTAGATTTGCATAAGGCTATCAAAGCGTGGTCAGAAAGTTATGCAAACTCTGCTTTCCACTCTTCCGTGTTCTCAGTGGGCACATAGGGTTTTTCAGGACGGGTATTTTAAACTACTGCTGTTAACTGGCTTGCAGTGTTGTATAGCCCTATATGACCTCACTGATTGCCTAGAGAATCATGAATTTAAAGCAAAGTTGAAGTGTAGGTAGAAGTAAGATGAGTTAATACAACTTGAGAGTTTGTGTTAAAAATAAAACATCAATTAACCATACAGTAGTTTTCCCCTCTGATTTGGTAAGTTCTTCATCCCCTGGTTTATGGGGTATAAGAAGGATCCTGAACATTACTTCTGAATTGTAACTGGTCATGAAAAGATTTCAAGTCTTCATCATTGGAGATACTCCAGACCAGACAAGGTCCTGAGCGATCTGTTCTAGTTTACTGCTCGTCGAGCAAGGAGGGTTGGACTAGATGATGATCAGGCTCTTCCAACCTTAGCTATTCTGTGATTCCATGTTATATTCCCAGGATCACCTTTGTACATAAATGTTTGTGTGCTTCATAGTAGGTCTTGCATGTCACTGATGAATTAATGTCAGAACAGTAGCCCAAGGAAATGTTTGTCCTCCCCCGTAGTGCTTTACAGTAACAGTCACGGGAGAGAAGCTGGCTTAGAAACTGTTGATCTGCCATAGAACCCAAGTTACTGGCAGAGAAAGTTTCCATACCCTAAGTCAGTCTCAGAGCAACTGTTCTGAATTTATGCAGGATTGGTTTAGCCTGCCTTTCCTAGGAAACTGAATTGTTTAAGTGTTTGATACTTCTGAAGCTCTACAAAGTAAGAGTGTGGCAGAGGCAGCTAAAAAAGTTGGAGCAATTTCTAGGCATCATTTTCAGAGGTCATCTGGGAACTTGTGCTGGCTAGCTGCTGGTGAGGATTACCTTCAGGGCACTTACCTGGTGGCTTCTTTGGCATCTAGCAATTATAAATTACACTAGTGACAAGCAATATGTATTGACTCAGGCTACATTGTAGCTACATTGTAGCATGGAACATCTTTCTATTCTCTTGTGAAAGTAAGGAGCTGGCAAATAATGTTACATTCATCGATTAATATTAAACTTTCAGTTATCATTGGGATTTTTTTTCCATAGTAAACTGAAAGTTTCCTCTTCCTGCTTCTGAAGCTAACAGTCTAAAACTATTTAATTTGCGCAAAACCTAATCTTATTGAGATGAAAAGGGAGTTACTTTTTCTTTAAAGTATTTTCACTGTTTCTGGTCTGTTTTTCAGGCATGCAGAAGTGATGAAGAAAATAATCGAGACTGTTGCAGAAGGTGGGGGAGAACTTGGAGTTCACATGTATCCTTTTTCTTTACTACACGATATTCGTAGAGATTTCTTGCAGTGTAAAGAGCTGTTACCTCAAGGTATTAAACTAGAATGCAATTGTGTGTGAAAACAGTAAACAACTGTTTGTGGTAGCACTTCCTAGAGTTCTGGGATGAGCTGATTTGTGCAAACAAATGCTGTTAATCATTTGGGGGGAGGGTACTGTAGGTAGCTGTGAATATAAAACTGAGATCCCAGTGTAGGAAGATGATGTTCGAGGTTCATAGACTCTGGCCAGAGTGTAGTCACTCCTCTTGGTACAGCAGCTTCTGTATTAGATTTGTATCATGGATTTATTTCTGAAAGATGTAGAGGTCCCATTATTCTCTGCTCTGCATGTGAGCAGTATCTTGTTAAAACATTTAGCTGACAAAAAAGCAATGGAAATTACTGAAACAGTTTTGAACATCAGTATCAAATGCATCACAATTAGAGTTTTCTTTTAGCATGTGACGGATCTTAGTTATGCTTTGTAGTAATTCATACTGTGTTTTCTGACTGAAGTAACCTCCATGTTGGAAGCAAACGTGTCCTTTCAAAAGAGTGTTCTGACTGCTTTTGCTGCTATGAGGCAAGCAAGGGGGGATTACTGAGCAGCTATAGGCCCTGAATCAGTAAATTTCTGTCACTGTATGAGTTGAGACTTACTCAATTTGTGTAGCAAGCAACTGAAACTGAACTGGAAAGTAACTTTTCTGGCAAGGTAGTTCAAGTCTTCTACTCCTCAATAGTTAGAAACAGCTTATTTTCAACATTTTGATTATTCTTTTTGCTATTGCTAAACAAATTGAGGGGTTTTCCTATTAGCAAGAAATACTGTTGAGCAGGCTATTGAATGTGACTTCTGCTTGGTTTTACAGGATTTCTAGCTATTGCACATTTTCCTTAACAAGAAACTCAGGTACCTTCTTATTTTCTTGAAATTTGTACAGGCAGTCATTCCAACGATAGAATATGACTACACGAGGCACTTTACAATGTAACTAAAATCAGAGATGTCCTCCTCTAATTATCAAATCTTTTTTTAAATAACCCATCCATGTGACTTATACAACGTTATACACAATTTCTGTAACTAACCTTTTATCAAGTTGATGCATTAAAATAAAATGTTCCATTACCAGCCTTTTTAATAAAAATCTTTGCGTGTAATATAAATAAATCCCTTTCATTCCTATATAGACACTGCACTAAGAGATGGGATTTTTTTCTCTGTAATTCCTTCCATTTCCTTTGAACAGAAGACTATTTTTGTCTATATTGGAAGCTAAAATCCACTTTCCGAGTAGAAGCCTAAAGCTTTTGGCTTCATTGCTGATTCCTGAAAATGTGAAAATTTTTATTATTTTTTTTCCTCCCATTTAAATTCACTCGAGACCTATGTGGTTTTTTCCTAGTTACAAATGGTTATATTTCCTCTAGCTGGAGGAGGATTTTGAAAGCTGAAAGAAAAGTGATCATCTTGTTAGGAAAGTTTAGTTTAAGATGTAGTCAAAATAGCTGAAGCTAACCAGTCTTTGAAAGGTGATTTACACTTGAATAAGACAAGTGGGTTGAGATGGATTTTTTTTTGGGGGGGAGGTGGGGGGGGCAGGGAGACAAAGCTGGAATATAGTATGTAGTATGTTCATCTTGTAATAAAGGCAAGAAGAGTCTTATTGACAAAATTACAGCTTGGGGTTAAAGGGAGAAGATTGCTATGGTAGAGCAAGGTTCAGTCTTGATTACTTGTCTGCCAGCTACAATAACTGGTAGTCTTACAGTGTGGTTTCCTTTTTTGGGGTAAATATACATGGAGTTGTTTATGAATTCAAATATTGCAGATGCATCCAGGCTTTAGCAGCCACTTTCTGCCCTGTGAAATTGAAAATGAGAGGAGAGGATCAACATATATATATGTGTATGTGTGTATTTATATTTATTAGGTTCACTTAAACTCTGTTTAGCTTTCAGGACTGCATCTTTGTCTCCCAAACATCCAACTTGCATTCTGCAAGGTAATCTGAAGTTGGATGTCTGCAACTGACTGAATTTACTGTTGGGTAGGAAGGTTGGTCCCTGTCCTGGCTCAGCTGGTCCCTGTCTTGACTGTCCTCTGTACCATGCTCTTACTTACATGAGAGCCTGTAATCGAGTTCTGTGTATTATGCTTGAATTGGCTTTCCTCTTTTGATATCTATCTTCATTTCCTCTTTTTTTGGAGGATATCTTAAGCAATGTCTATGTAAGTGAAGAGTAATGCTAGTTGAAACCTGTTAAAACTTAACCACACCCACTGAGTCATGCCATAGGATTTTCCCAATCAGACTCATCTGAAAGATGTTTTGAGCTTTTTGGCAACAAAGGAAGTAGCTGTCCTCCACCCAGCAAATAGGGGGTTTTGGAGGGGAGCAAAGAGGGAATATGACTTAAAATAACCAACAGTGATAGATATTTTTTCCTTTGCTCCATCAGAATCTTTTGAAACATCCTTCTCTCTAAAAGGTGTCTATTCTCCTTTAGGAAGGTGAATTAGTCTTTCACTGATCTCCAGTATGTTGAGATAACAAATAACCACATTTTTTTTGTTTTTTTTTAGTATAAACTGATGAAGGCTTTTTTCTCTGACCCTAGCAGAAAAACAGAGGAGCAGCAAAACTGAAGAGAACTTGCCAAGGGCTTCAGTCAGCACCATGATATTTAATTGATATTTAATGTCTTACTGCATCTGTAGCACAGAAGTATCTAGTATCACAAAACCTGATGCTTGGTGACTAATATGTGGTGCTCTGCTTGGCTGGATATGAAAGCGGCTGTACCTGAGCAAGCAAATTTGACCTGGGTACACTTGCAGTAGTTGTACTGTGCATTAATCCTCTTCATTAGTTCAGGACTAGTATTAAAAGCTCCTGTTAGAAGTGAAGATTGCTGCTGTAGAAACTGCTCTAAACATAGGCAAGCATAGTGACCTCAGTTATAGCTTCTGGCAAATCCTATGTGGTCATTAATTGTCTGAATTTTGCCTCTACATCAAAATAGCTCCTGAGAAGTTTTGCTCTGATGGAGTAGTTTTCCTACTGCGCATCTTACAGCTCTTGTGAGCTTTACATGCCTTCTAGATGTCTCTCTTGATCTTGGACTTTGAGTACATTCTAGTTCACAGGTGCTGCATGCAGTGAAAATGTGGGTAAAATTTTCATTCCACTGAATCCGAACCAAAAAGTTCTGCACAGGCAATAGGTTATGATGCAAAGGGAATAACCTTGCAGAGACTAAAAATAATGACCATCACAAGCTCTGTTGTCAAACTTAAGATACCTAGTCCTCAATTTACATGACATACTTTTAAAATACAAAAAAAAAAAGACTTGCTTCCAATAAAAAAATAGAAAAAAATGAAAGCAGTAACTTCCAAGCAACACATGGGAAGTGCACTTCTAAAAGTCTAATCAAAGTCTAAACTATAGATAATGAAGGGTGGAAATAGTGTTAAAGAATGGGGGTGATTTCATCCTTCTGTGGCTGCATTTTAAGGTGTGGGAAAGTGGAGCTTGTTTAACCAGCTTGCTAACAAACAGCCTGATCCGTTGCTAGAGAACTAGAGTGCCTTGAATTTGTCTGGGTATTGTAAAGTCCATAAGGGCAGATGTACTTTAGTGTTGTCTTATGCTAAAAGCTTACTGATCTCACGTCTCTTCCTGAAACATACCTCTCTGCTTTCCTATTTGAAAATAACCTTCTCTGCTAGTAACTTGTAAGAATTTTTCTAAGTCCTCTTTTTTTTAAAAAAAAGAGATACTGGAATGTAGAAAATGCAGCCGTATGAAAGAAGAAAAAGTTAATCTATCCAAAGTATCATTCCTATTGTTGGAAGTAGGTATGTACAGAACTTGATGAGAAGCTCTCTTTTTGATAATCCACTTTGAGTTCCAACAAGGATTTATGATAAAAAGATGCAAATCTTCCTAGTTACAAACCCTTGCAAACCTGTACCACCTGGTTAACATCATGTTGTGGGCACTTACTACTTTTATTCTCTACAGAAAGAAAGCCAAGTTGAATATGCTGCTAGACTGACTTAGCATGAGGGCAGCTGGACTGATTTAGCATATCAGTTGTAAGCCTGGGCAAATAAAGAAATCTCTTAGTAAAGAAGACAAACTGAAACACAGAGAACACAAACATGGTTTAGAGTAGGATCAAAATTCTTTGTGGAGCCAAACTGAAAACTTTCTGGCAAAGATTAAACACACGGGGGGGGGGGGGGGCTGGTTTGGGGTTAGTCAAAAACTCAGACGGGGGGGTGGGGGAGGCTTGTTTTGGATTAGTCCAAAATTTTGAGTCAGGAATTATTAATGTAGTTTTTGAGGAGAGGAAGCTAGTGTATCTACCTCTCTCTGCTCCTTAAAATGAAAAAAAAATTTTAGACCAAAAGCCAGTGGTCTTAGACTTCTTTTTAAAGCACTGAAATTGGATTTTGCAATATTTAGAAAAGTCATATATTTATTTTTCTCTGAACCTGGTTATTGAATTCAGCATTTCTGTGCAAATAGTTTTGGGTCCTGCTAAATAATTGGTTTTTGCAAACATATTGACTGGAGAAACACCTGATTCTAATCAAGGACACTCGCTTTCCTCCTAAGGAAAAATACAGTTTTAAAATGTGAATGTATTTAGATTTAAATTAACATGATTGTGTATCTTTTGAAGCTTTTGGCACCAGACCTGTCTGAAATGCTCCTCTACGTTCTTACTGCTTTGTAGTGTGTGTGTGACCACACAAGTTACACAGCCTGCCTTCCTTTAACAGTTTTGCAGAATTTGTTCTTATATTAGCCGCTGTCAAATACAAAGCGATATACGTATTGCTTTTGAAGAAGCTGCTGTCTGAAAGAAAGCTGAAGTTCGTCTGCCATCTTTTTGCCTGCTTATGTGGTTTTTCAACATAGCACGTCTACTTTAAACTTCTAAAATGAGGTGTTTCACAGATGAACCTTTCTTGGCTTTAGTGCCTTCATCCAGAAGTGAAGATACTTATCTGATGGCGTCCCTTCCACGTTGTGCCTGGCAGATTTGGTAAGTGCCGCCTCTGTCTTTTACCTACATTCAGAACCATGTGTTCACCGCTGATCAATAATTAACTCCTTGTTTGCCCAGGAAGGTCCTTTCACCCTGCACTAAGCAAAGTATGCTTGCTGGACCATTATGCATTGATTTCTGCGTTTGAATGAGAGATCGATCGATCTATGTTAGAGCATTATTAGCAACCAAGTCAATAATTGTTTTACAACTTTTTCTTCTCTATACTAGCATTCTCTCACTCAGTATAATATAACTGTTAAAACTGATGGCAGCCATCAGGATATGGCCACCTGCTAGCATTTAGGATAGTGTTTGTGATGAACTGCAACAAAGTTTATGGTGGGTTGTAATCTATAAAATCACCACTTTACAGCTCTTTTTAAAGAGTTATCTGTTCTTGATTGCTCACACTCAGCCTAGGCTATTCTGCACGAAAAACTGGAAATCCCAGTTAGTTTTAAAGATCAGCCTTAGAGCAGTACTGTGAGTATACTCTTAGTATGTTTTCACATGTAGCATAACAAGAAACAGAACCATAATTACTGGTGTCAGAACAAACAGTAATCTTCCCAGTTAGAAGATGCAGACCTGCTTTTAGTGTCAAAGAATACTGCTTGTGTTCTTTTTCCATGCCTTTTTTTTTTTCATTTGGCTTTTCAGTATCAGTACATCCCAAAGGTACTGCTTACTTTTGCAAATAACGTTGCTCATTGTGCTGCAGAGATTGTTTTGGCAGTATGAACTAGACCTGTGCTCCTCTATGCGTGGCTTTTGCCCACAAGATCTTTTGATGTTGCTTGTGACCAAACGTAAGTTATGCTTGAATACGTGGGTAAGCAATGAGAATAAAATATGAAGTTTGCTGCACGTGCAGTGTTGTGAAGCTAAGATTGTGTCTATATATGTCAATAGACAATAAAGTCGATTTGCCTTGGAAGACTTCAGCCTGAAAAATGTATAATGTATTCTGTAGTCACTTGTCGTGACTAATAGTAATAGCCCTCAGGCAGCCAATGCTCACTAAAAATATTATGAGTATGTACTAGACTTTTACCATCTCAG